CTGTCAGCTAACTTTATGTCGATGGGAGATGCTATGAGGAAGTAAAATAGAGAGCCAAGAAATAAACCCATGTGTTCATAGGCAACTGATTTTTCAAACACACTTTGTAGAAAACACTTTTAAATAATAGGGAAAGAATTGGATAGCTACACGCAAAAGAACCCAAAGGAAACTAGACCCTTTTCTCTCATCTGTTCAAGAACCAGCTCAAAGTACATTAAAGACGTGAACATAAGAACAAAAACCATGAAACCAGTGTGGTTTCAGACACTGGAATGAGCAAAGCCTTTTTTTTTTTTTTTAAAGAAAATCCCCAAAGCTCAAAAAACTAAAGCAGAAATGGACCTATGGGATTGCAACAAACTAAAATGGTTTTGCACAGCAAATAAAATAATCAAGAAAGTGAAGAGACAACCTACAGAATGGGAGAAGAGATTTGAAAACTTTACGTCTAAAAGGGGCTGGGTAATCAGAATATAGAAGGAACCTCAAAACTCAAGAGAAAAACAAAACAAAAACAACAACAACAACAACAAAAAAAACCCAAACAAGCAAATAACCTGATTGAAAATGAGAAATAGACATGAACAGACATTCCTCAAAAGAAGATATACAAATGGCCAACTGGTGTATGAGTAAAAGCTCAACTTCACTAATCATCAAGGAAATACAAATCCAAACCACTTTGAGATGTTACCTCACCACAGCAAAAGCAGCTTCATTGAAAAAACTAAAAATAACTACTTATGGCAAGAAGTAGAAGAAAGGGAAGGAAACTTGCACCCTGTTGGTGGGAATATAGATTGGCACAGTCATTATGGACAATTGTATAGAAGTTAATGAAATAATTATAGAAACTTCACGCGATCCAGCAATTTCAACAATGAGTTTAAATTCAAAGGAAATTAGCTAGGCATGGTAGTACATCCCTCTAATTCCATCTACTCAAGAGGCTGAGGCAGGAGGATGGCAAGTTTGAGACTAGATCAGCAACTTTGCAAGACTCTATTGAAAAAAATAAAATAAAATAATAAAAATAATTTAAAAGGATCAGAGATCTAGTTCAGTGGTAGAGAGCCCCTGGGCTAAACACATAATACTGTAATTAATCAATGAATTCAAAAGAAATGAAATTGGTATGTCAGAAAGACATCTGTACCTCCATGTTCCCTTGGAATTTCTTCCAATATCTAAGAAATGGAAACAACCTGAGTGTCCAAAAACTGATAAAAGGATTAAGAAAGTGTGTCACCGATGCAATAGAAAATTTGGCTCAGTCATAAAGAAAGAACTGTTGTCATTGGCAAAAGTAGTTCATTATATAAAGTGAAATAAGCCAATCTAAAGACATTTTCTGAATGATCTCACTCATGTCCTTGAAAAGTCCTTCTCACAGAAGTCACGAATTAAGCAGTGTTTATCAGAGGATGGATATAACGGAGAAGGAAAGCTGGGGAGAGGATGATCATTGGTACTACTTTGCTGTTAGGAGCAAGAAGATCTGGTGAGCCATGGCACAGTAGGGAGACTACAGGTAACTCTTACATAGTGTGCACTTCAAAAAGGCAGAAGCAAGGATTTTTAAAGTTTTCCCAACAAGGAAATGAAAAGCATTTGAAAAGTTAGGTATGTTTGAACTTATTTAGGTGGTACACACTATATTTATGTACACAACAATCTAATGGTATGAGTCAATTTGTACAATTTTTGTGTTTTCATTTACCAATAAAGAGAAATTTAATTTTAAGAGTATAATTATGAACTTGATCCCTAAAGGCTCTTTAATTGCTTCTTCCTTAGCAAAGTGGGACAGGGAGCTGTAAATAGTCTCATGGGGAAAATCTCCAGAGGTCTCCAAATCGGTATGATTCTCTCCAGATCTCCATGTATTTGCCTCTGAAATCCCAAGCACTTCACATCACTTTATTTTAGAAGGAACAAGGTACAGGCCAGCTCCAGTGGACATCCTTTCTTCATCTGCATGATTATTGTTGGTATGCAGCCTTCTTCAAACCTGAGGGTTTGCTAAGAACCTTCAATTATGGTCAGAGAAACATTCAAATGAAAAAAAAAACACATTGGTTGATCTTAAATGATGTTATTTTTATGAGATCTTCTGTAGATGTTTCATTTATTCAGGAGCATGATCTGTGAATTACCTGGGAGAGAAGTAATATTATCCTATGTATTCTATGTAGAAGGAGGGGTAAGTAATTCTTCCCAGGGCACAGAAAGAACTCATGGTAGATTCTCAACTGGACCCATGTTAACTATCTTTTCTCCTGCCTTAGAGAACATGGAGTCTTTTGATGACTACCTGAGCGAGGCCTCCTCATAGAACTTATTCCATTTCCCATTCCTGATTTAATAAATTTAAAAATACCCCTCTGAATAAGCTGCCTTTCACTTCTAGCAGAGTGGTAAGCTCTCTATTCCATAACATTTCAGACAGAAGTGTAAGCCATGCAAAAGCACTGGGCTACCTGTGCCTGCTCTCAGTTATTTGAAAAATAAAGAAATGTTTCTCACAACTGAGGTAAGTCCATGCACAAATGTCAAACATCTATTATGGGGACTTTAATGATTCATAGAACAAGAACAAATCTAGCTTTAAAAATGAACAAAAACTATTACAGATGATGCTTTGATTGATTAGTGACCTTATCTTGTTTACTCTATATTTGGACATCATCAGAGTTTAAAATGCGAACACAAAACAAAATCCCAGAAGTGAAATGATCCTTGTTTAAACTATAAAATAGTCCTCAATGAATGAACGGACTCTGATCTGCATTTAACCCTTTCACCATTGTCTCAGGCTTATTCTTGGGAGGTGACTGTAACTCATGAATCTTGAGTCTTTCTTATATTACCTGTTTAATTTTAGAGCTTCACACAACTCCCCATATTCCCAGTAGCCTTTCTGGTAAAATAAGAACAACAATACAATCTTCTTCACACATTTAACACTTCCAGGAAAATCTCTTACCATTTGTTGTAGAACACAGTATCTCAAGTGTATTAAGAATAGCAACCATGATGTCTTCATGGAAATTTAAGCTGTCAAATACATACGAGAAATATGGAAGGCGACATCCAAATTAACATATAGATTTGCGGAAAGAAATTGATATAAGGAGAGTAACTAAGAACAGTGTAGGGACGAAGAACAGGAGAAGAAGATTAACATTTAACAGGGATGAGAGGTGGGAGGGAAAGGGAGAGAGAAGGAAAATTGCATGGTAATGGAAGGAGACCCTCAGGGTTATACAGTGGAGGAGGTAGAGAGAGAGGAGGGGAGGGGAGGGGAGAGGTGGGGAGGGGGGAGGGTGGAGGATGGGAAAGGCAGTGGAGCACAACAGACACTAGTATGGCAATTTGTAAATCAATGGATGTGTAACTGATGTGATTCTGCAATCTGTGTATGGGGTGAAGGTGGGAGTTCATAACCCACTTGAATCAAAGTGTGGAATATGATATGTCAAGAAATTTGTAATGTTTTGAACAACCCACAATAAAAAATAAAAAAAAAAAAGAAATTTTCAACAGGACTGATCCACAGGGAATTGCAGCAGCAGTTATCACAAGCTTAGAGTAATGGAAGACCTAGAAACAATCAAGAGCACAAAACACCAAAATGGCCATCACAGGGAGAAAAGGAAAATTGGGGAGAAAAGCTTAAGACATCAACATCACTCACAACTGAAGTCATAAATTTGAGCATCCACCTTGTTCAACATGGGCCATTATCCCCTTCTGGCCACGTGATAGCTAGTACCCATCAGGATGTGCTTACACCCCAAATTTTATTTTCCTTTAGTATTATTTAGTTTTCACAAGAATGTCTCAAATAATATCTCTCATTAATGTCTTCCTTTTGCAGATGGAAATTGGATGTTCATAGGAGTTACCTTAAGACTTGTGACTCTTAGGTGATAAATGGCAGGTCTGATGTGCCTCTCTAATGAGAATCTAAGCTTTGTGTGTCTTCTGTATCTGATATGGATTCACTCTCAATCCCCTCTGCAGGCAGCACATGGTCCCACCATTCCAGCTAACCAACCACAGCCACTGTGTATAGAGATGTGCTATGTTGATTCAAATGTCAGACTCATCTCTGCGTAATCAAAGGTCATGCCTTTAGGCACATCAGTATCAACATGTGTAGATGTGCTGCTAATAATAAGCAGGAGATTGCTGGGGAAGGTTAATATACAATGAAGAGCTTATCAATTAATTTGGGGTCCATCCGTGGTTGAAACAAGGACTATTTCACTGTTATAGATTTGCTTATTTGTTCTATATGTAATGAGAAGCAAGCATTGTTGTAAATAGGATGAATTTGCATCTTATCAATGACTCCCATATATGTGAAAACTAGCATATTTCATAGTTTCATATCACTATGAAACCCCAATTGCTGCTTGTAATTCACTTTAGCTCCTTAGATTTAGGAACCATTCAACATGGGTTAAGGATGGGTCCAGAGCAGAATGAACAATTAGATTTTGCCAATATGAATGAGTTATTTTGCCTGTTATGCATCAATTTTTACATGGATAATACAATGAAACAAATTCAAAATGTTATGGTGAGGAGACACAGAATGCACATTTAATGTACCTCCAGCAATTATCAGCAGGTGAGCAATGTGAAAGTATCATTTTCTTTTCTAGGATACCTGAAAGAACTGAATGATTTGACCATAGAAGTAATGTAGATTAAGCTGTTATACTGACTGCATTAACACTGTAAAAAAATTTAAATTGTGTACATGATCCCTTAAGATTCCTGAATTTCACAGCATGCAACATTGTAGAAGTGATGCAATCAATTTGATACAGAAAGTCATGCTTTTACTAGAGAATCTCAGATTAAAACTTATTGCTACAATGAAAGAATACATCTTGTATATATACTTTGAATTTTCAAATCATTAATTTTTCATTCTGTTCTTTCTTCTCATAGCTATAGAACACCTAATGATTTTTAGGAAACTGATGGAAAATAGGACAGAAGTGACACAGTTCATCCTGCTGGGACTGACCAACGACCCAAGTCTGCAGCTTCCCCTCTTTGTGACCTTCCTGCTCATCTACATCATCAATCTGATTGGGAACCTGGGGATAATCCTGTTGATTGTCTTGGACTCACGTCTCCACACTCCCATGTATTTTTTCCTGGGCAACCTGTCTCTGGTTGACTTGTGCTACTCTTCAGCTGTCAGTTCCACAGTCATGGCTGGGCTCCTTCTTGGATACAAGGTCATCTCCTACAATGCTTGTGTCACCCAAATGTTCTTTTTTGGAGCCTTTGCCACTGTGGAAAACTACCTCCTGGCCTCGATGGCCTATGACCGCTATGCAGCAGTGTGTAAGCCCCTGCACTACACCACCACCATGACAACGAGTGTGTGTTCATACCTGATTGTAGGCTGCTATGTCAGTGGATTCCTGAGTGCCTGCATCCTCACTGGGAACACATTCAGTCTCACCTACTCTAAGTCCAACGTGGTCCATCATTTTTTCTGTGATGTTCTAGCAGTGATGGTTCTCTCTCACTCTGATAGACATGTGAATGAACTGGTTCTTATTTATGTAGCCAGCTTCAATATCTTAATTGCTCTCCTCATAATATTAATATCCTACATATTTATTTTTATCACAATCCTAAAGATGCGCTCAGCTGCAGGACATAGGAAGGCTATATCCACCTGTGCCTCCCACTTTACTGCAGTCTCTATATTTTATGGGACTCTAATCTTCGTGTACTTACAGCCCAGCTCCAGTCACTCCATGGACACATTCAAAATCGCATCTGTGTTCTACACTATGGTCATTCCCATGCTGAACCCTGTGATCTACAGCCTCAGGAACAAGGAGGTCAAGATTGCATTCTTAAAAGTCAAGAGTGTATTCATTTGTTGTGAGAAGAATAATCTTTAGGATTTTGATTTTAGCTTTGTGGTTTGGGGTAAGTTTCCTTGATTCATTCCTCTTAGGTCTTCTCTAAGTATTGGGTACATCTGAGGCCACATTGAAGTTAAGTTCTTGATGTTATGTTCTTACCATTGCAAAGTGTTTTATGGGAAGAGTAAACATCAAGTCCAGAAATTAATACCTGAATTATAGTGGCTAAAATATCTTGATGTCTACTTTTCAAAACTCCCACTTAGGACACTGATGTAGTTACTCATTTTATGTGTTCTTTTCCTACCACCTGTTGTTGCAAATTTATTTAAAACAAAGGGACTAGGATGGAACAGAAGTAATACACACTAATGTCACTTAGTGTCACATTCACATTGATGTGGCAAATTTGCCAGAATTAAATGTAGTGGGGCTACTGTATTGGTTAATTTTTGTGTTAATTTGAATAGATTAAGTGATACCCAGATACACAGTAATACATTTTGCCACATGTGTCTGTGAGGGTTTTACCGAGAATCTAGTATTTGAAGCAGTAGACTTGGTGATCAATGTGAGGGGCCATCTGCCAATCAACTGACAACTTGCCTATAGATCAAAAAGCAGAGAAGAGGAAAATTCTCTGTCTCTGTCTCTCACTCTTTACTTTAATTGTGACATCCATTTCTCCCATTCTAGACACAAGAGCTACTGATCTGACCATGGGTTTTGTCACTGTGGTCTTCAAGACTTGCCGAAGTCATAGCTCACCTTCCAGGCTTAGAACTTTAAACTCAAAATCATACCATCTCCTTTCCTCATTCTCTGCCTTACAGACAGAATATCAAGGACTTCTGACCTCCATATCTCCTGAGCCTGAAAGAAGATAGTTCAGGAAAAATAAGACATTTTAATACACTCATACAATGCTGCAAAGTTTCAGACAATTGACATATTAAATAGAGAAAGAAATGATATTGCACACTTTTATTGCTGAAAATGCTTTGAAATTGTTAATTCTGACCACTCATTTTTACTTTAGTTGAGTTGCATTCTCTTTTGCCATTCCCCAATCCTTTATACCTCTTCTTTCTCACTAATTTCCTTGTTCTTTCTTCACAATGAGACCCATGGTCTCTACTCCGTGGGAATGCCCTCATTCTATCCAGGTCTTGCTTCAATGCCACCCTGTCAGTGAGTCCTTCCATGACCACCTGCATGAAATAGTCACTGTTGATTCACCACATTAAATGACCCCTCCTCCTATGTCATTCTTCATAGTTCTTATCAACCCTCATCGACTGTACCTTTGCTTACTTGTTTCTTTTTTAACTCCCCCAACTATGTAAACTCTCCATGAGAACATGGACTTTATCAGGTTTGTCCCAACATGATTATTGATATATTAATAGGTGACTATTTCATCATTAAAGCAAATAAATATTTATGAAAGGAATGAATAATTTAGATTTCTATTTAATTGTACCAACATTTTGAACCTTTTTAGCATTGTTTATTAAGTGAATTTTGCATAATAAAAATCTTATAGATCAAAATTCAGTGCACCTCAAGACAGTGCTGATTTTCTGCTTTGCTGAAACGTTTTTTTCCCACATTGTCACTCAGTCTTCATACTCTTCACTTTGACTCAAACGGTTTTCGTTTTTTATATATTTTTAAAATTTTTAATGTAATTTCATTATAATATTATTTTCTTAGTTCTTTTTAGACATACATGACAGTAGAGTGTATTTTAAGATATACTATTTCATAATTCATAAAGACACACTGATAATAAAATTATTTAAAAGATGCATATCTGCTTATATTTGAGTGATTATTACATACACCAAAATATGCAATTAACTGAAATGATTCTAACATTGCAGGTAGATTATACATGACTGGGTATGTTAGTAGAAAACATAGGTAAATTCTGCACACTAATATAGATCTGGACCTTCATGTTTTAAATTAGATCTTCGGGGAGCTCAGTATTAGTGTCTTTTGTTCTTGGGTGGTAGCATTTACTCTGCAATGGTGGGACCCAATTAATCCGATGGTTTCAGTTTCAAAGGTTTGCTTCTTACCATCCCACAGTGGGTAGCAGATTTAAAATAACACATCCTCTCTACCACTCCACTTATCCTTGTATTTGAGTCTCTTCATGAAGCCACAGTGTGTCAGGTTTTCTAATTCTCATGTTATTGCCACCTTTGATTCTACCTTTAAGCCAACTAAACAAACAACCCGTTGAACCCTTACTAACTCCCTGAACATTTAATGAAGAATCTCTGATAGAGGGTCTTCATCTTATTATTTTGTCCTGATTCAGCTTTTGCTTCCTTCCACAAGAACTAAAACCTTACTATCTTTATACACTATATATGTGCCCAAGGTTCCATTCCACATATTTATAAAACATAATCAGTTCATATGGAGATTAGTCCATTTCCCCATATGTCACATGCTGCTTAGGGGGTATCTGAGACTTGAGTCTAGTAAAGATCAAGAAGCAAAGAGCCATGGTGGTAGGTCCTGCAACCCATCCATTTATCTTGCAGAGCAACAGCCTTAATGTGATTCAACAAATTTTGACTGTTAAGTGTAAGGTCAAAGGAAACTTACCTTAGGCAAATCAGGATTAATTCCCTGAGATACAATGTAGAGGTTTATTTTGCTGGAGGTAGAAAGGCTAATTCTACTGACAAATAAGACTCATCAGAATATAGGGGCTGGATGTCTTGAGTTTCTATAGGGTTTTCCTATATATCTCTATTCCAGGCACCACGATTCAATACCTTCACAGTCAGTGCCTTCAGTCTTAAAGTAGACACACTGTTAGGTTAGGAATCCAATTTGCATTTTAAGTTAAGTGCCCCTAGGATTGATTTCATCTCAGCAGTTTTAGCACTAAATCTACAGGAGATAACCATCACTTCCAGAACTAGGGGACATCTACAGAACACTTCATCCAATAACTGCACTCAACAAAGACAGAATTAGCATTTTTCTCTTCAGCCCATACAGTGTTCTTGAGGCTAGATAATAAGGCCATAAAATGTCTCAACAAATCTTTAAATATTGAAATCTCATCAAATGCCTTTTCTGGCCACAATACATGAAAGTCAAAATCAATAACAAGAAAAATCTTTAAGAAGTATATAAATACATGAAAATTAAACAATTTATTTTTGAACAAGCAGATGGTCAAGAAAGGAATCAAGAAGGACATTTAAAAATTTATTGAAACAAATGAAAATGGAAACATTCTAAAGCCAATGGATACATCAAAAGCAGTGTTTAGGGAAGTTCATAGTAGTTAATATCTAAAAGAAAGAAACAAAATGACCGCAAATAAACAATTTATCACTGTAACTCATGGAACTAAATAAAAGAAGAAGAATCTAAATGAAAAAGTAGTCTGAGGTTCAAAATAATATAGAACAGAGGAAAAATACATGAAATAAAAACAAACAAAACTTAAAAAAGATCAAGAAAATAAAGAGCTGGTTCTTTGAAAATATGAACAAAATAGAAAGTCATTAGTTACAGTAATGAGAGGGAAGATTCAATTAAATAAAATTAGAGATTAAAGGAAAGACAATGGATGCTTCAGAAATATTGAAGCTCATTAGAGATTATTATGAACAATGCTCCACAAATGAATTTTATGACCTAGAAATAATGGAGACAACTCTAGACACATATAACAACCAAGATGGAATTAAAAAGAAATAGAAAAACTTGAATACAGCAATAACCAGTTAAGATGTTGAATAATAAAAAGCCTACTATCAAGAACAAAAACTGCTGAGTTCTAGGAAACATTTAAAGAAGAAATAATACCAATTCTCCTTAAGTTGTTCCAAAGAGGAGGAGGAGGAGGAGGAGGAGGAGGAGGAGGAGGAGGAG